CCCTAGGGATGCTTTTTTAGGTGATACGTTGCCATAGTGTCCAAAGTATGACGTCTTAATGTTTTTTTCGGTGTTGATGCCGAGGCTCCCATTTGAAAGCGCCCGACAATAGATACTTCCGTTTTTAGTCTTTCTATCTCGAGCAGATACTCTTGTTTGCTTTTATCCATCTCTTTTAGCTTAATTGCCTGCTTTTTGAGCCGAGTTTCGAGATCGCGAGTCAAGTTCTGATATCTTGAAGTGTCTCTTCTGTAGCTGACAAGATGTTTACTTTCGTTTTATTTTTGACAGTTTTAGTGCTTTGGGCGAATTCTGGTGTAGATCTAGTCTCCTCCTCTGCAGCTAAAGTAACATTCCCGATAATCAATGATTTGGCATTACCCCAAGAGCCTGTGAGAGCAGTCTAGTCAATTTCGAATCGCGATAACTGATAAACTCCTTCCCCTCGCTTAGTTGCCTTATCACATTTCCTAATACTGACAAAGATTTGTTTATGTTAGCCCCCTCTTTAAGACGCTCACCAGCAGCTTTCGTCAGAGAAACTCTCTCAGAACCAGCTAAGTCCATTAAGTTAAGGTAGCTTATATGTACAGGTCCATCTTTCTGATTGGCATCTTTCGACTCCAGAATAATCCGGAAATCGTGTGTGATCGAGATGACCTCTCATTCATGCGAGTAGCTGCAACTCGTCTGATCTTGCCCTGCATCATGTTCTCCATAACTTTATCAACATTGTCTACGACAGCTTCCCTTGCATCAAGCAGCACATTTCCTTTGATATCTTCTCTTATAGTTAAACCCTGATTGCTCTTATCCAGGAGGTCATTGATCTTTTCATTGTAGATTTCAATATAACTGCATCTAATCAAGTACCTCTTATCAACCTGGTCTGCCACATGCTGGAATAACTGATTGGATACTAATTGGAAAAGCCCAGGATCTGTTTTATTGCCCAAAATGGTGTGTGTTTTGCCAGAAGATGTTTGGCCATATGCAAATATTGTGGCATTGAAACCTTCCATGAAGGAATCGACTAAAGGTTTTACTACAGATCCATATACATCTGAATTTGTACATTCCTGCTTAAATACATGGTCTCGAATATATAAACCTCTCCATGGCGACTACTTTCATCGGCTTCCCATATGCAGTTTACTCTTACGTTCCAAAGACGCTCTAGACCATCGGCTACTTCGCGGTGGATCATTGGTCTGATCTTTGTGGCTACTTTAATATTGTCGGAAGTCATTTTGGAAGCTTGAACTGAAATTTAATTAGAACTAGGGCTATTTCACGGGTTATAAAGAGGGCACTTTTCATAATCCAGATTTCGTTTTGGCATTCCAGTTCAGCCATTTGATCCTGAAGCTCTTTTATAGTAGAATCATTATGGCATCGTATATCTGAGATTTTAAATGAGTGGTTGACCTCACGTTGGTTACTCTCGTCCATCAGACTCTTTACGTCATTTCTCAGTTTAGATTCAAGTTCTTTTAGGAAGCCAATTTCATCTTGCAGTTCAGCAATGTGTGACATCGTTACATCAGTTTGTGTAGCAGCACTTAAAGAATCTTGCATATCTTCGTACTCAGCGTCAAGCATAGCTTCTAAGTCTGCAACCTTCTTTTTTGACTCAATATTTTGAGCTTCAAGAGATGGTTTAGGGCTCTCTGATCTTCCTAGGTTCTTCAGTTGAGTACGCAGCATCTCTATTTCTGACTCGTATGTTTTTAGTCTTTTTATTATTTTTTTCCAGAAAATCGAGTCTGTATTGCAAGTCGATGAAATTCTTGCGCTTTTTGAGAATTTTTTTGAACTCTTTCTATTTCTTCGTTGTACGCATCCGTTACTTGGCGGAGTTCCTGACTGTAACGATCGATTTTAGAATTGGCTTCTGTGAGCTGTTTCTTCAGGTCCAAAATCTCCAGCTGATTATCTAGTTTAGTGAATTCTCTAAGCTCATTGAAAGATTCTTCCAGTTCTTTGCGTTGTCTTTTAAGTACACTTGCACGTCTTCAGCTATCACAGATTCTGCTTCGGCTAGTGCCTCCTCATATGTCTCTTCTTGAATAGGCCTCATTTCACGTCCGGATGATTCTTCTTTGGGTGGATAATTTTTCAATGGCATATACCCTAGGGATGCTTTTTTAGGTGATACGTTGCCATAGTGTCCAAAAGTATGACGTCTTAATGTTTTTTTCGGTGTTGATGCCGAGGCTCCCATTTGAAAGCGCCCGACAATAGATACTTCCGTTTTTAGTCTTTCTATCTCGAGCAGATACTCTTGTTTGCTTTTATCCATCTCTTTTAGCTTAATTGCCTGCTTTTTGAGCCGAGTTTCGAGATCGCGAGTCAAGTTCTGATATCCTTGAAGTGTCTCTTCTGTAGCTGACAAGATGTTTACTTTCGTTTTATTTTTGACAGTTTTAGTGCTTTGGGCGAATTCTGGTGTAGATCTAGTCTCCTCCTCTGCAGCTAAAGTAACATTCCCGATAATCAATGATTTGGCATTACCGCCAAGAGCCTGTGAGAGCAGTCTAGTCAATTTCGAATCGCGATAACTGATAAACTCCTTCCCCTCGCTTAGTTGCCTTATCACATTTCCTAATACTGACAAAGATTTGTTTATGTTAGCCCCCTCTTTAAGACGCTCACCAGCAGCTTTCGTCAGAGAAACTCTCTCAGAACCAGCTAAGTCCATTAAGTTAAGGTAGCTTATGTACAGGTCCATCTTTCTGATTGGCATCTTTCGACTCCAGAATAATCCGGAAAATCGTGTGTGATCGAGATGACCTCTCATTCATGCGAGTAGCTGCAACTCGTCTGATCTTATTGCCCTGCATCATGTTCTCCATAACTTTATCAACATGTCTACGACAGCTTCCCTTGCATCAAGCAGCACATTCCTTTGATATCTTCTCTTATAGTTAAACCCTGATTGCTCTTATCCAGGAGGTCATTGATCTTTTCATTGTAGATTTCAATATAACTGCATCTAATCAAGTACCTCTTATCAACCTGGTCTGCCACATGCTGGAATAACTGATTGGATACTAATTGGAAAAGCCCAGGATCTGTTTTATTGCCCAAAATGGTGTGTGTTTTGCCAGAAGATGTTTGGCCATATGCAAATATTGTGGCATTGAAACCTTCCATGAAGGAATCGACTAAAGGTTTTACTACAGATCCATATACATCTGAATTTGTACATTCCTGCTTAAATACATGGTCGAATATATAAACCTCTCCATGGCGACTACTTTCATCGGCTTCCCATATGCAGTTTACTCTTACGTTCCAAAGACGCTCTAGACCATCGGCTACTTCGCGGTGGATCATTGGTCTGATCTTTGTGGCTACTTTAATATTGTCGGAAGTCATTTTGGAAGCTTGAACTGAAATTTAATTAGAACTAGGGCTATTTCACGGGTTATAAAGAGGGGCACTTTTCATAATCCAGATTTCGTTTTGGCATTCCAGTTCAGCCATTTGATCCTGAAGCTCTTTTATAGTAGAATCATTATGGCATCGTATATCTGAGATTTTAAATGAGTGGTTGACCTCACGTTGGTTACTCTCGTCCATCAGACTCTTTACGTCATTTCTCAGTTTAGATTCAAGTTCTTTTAGGAAGCCAATTTCATCTTGCAGTTCAGCAATGTGTGACATCGTTACATCAGTTTGTGTAGCAGCACTTAAAGAATCTTGCATATCTTCGTACTCAGCGTCAAGCATAGCTTCTAAGTCTGCAACCTTCTTTTTTGACTCAATATTTTGAGCTTCAAGAGATGGTTTAGGGCTCTCTGATCTTCCTAGGTTCTTCAGTTGAGTACGCAGCATCTCTATTTCTGACTCGTATGTTTTTAGTCTTTTATTATTTTTTTCCAGAAAATCGAGTCTGTATTGCAAGTCGATGAATTCTTGCGCTTTTTGAGAATTTTTTTGAACTCTTTCTATTTCTTCGTTGTACGCATCCGTTACTTGGCGGAGTTCTGACTGTAACGATCGATTTTAGAATTGGCTTCTGTGAGCTGTTTCTTCAGGTCCAAAATCTCCAGCTGATTATCTAGTTTAGTGAATTCTCTAAGCTCATTGAAAGATTCTTCCAGTTCTTTGCGTTGTCTTTTAAGTACACTTGCACGTCTTCAGCTATCACAGATTCTGCTTCGGCTAGTGCCTCCTCATATGTCTCTTCTTGAATAGGCCTCATTTCACGTCCGGATGATTCTTCTTCGGGTGGATAATTTTTCAATGGCATATACCGTAGGGATGCTTTTTTAGGTGATACGTTGCCATAGTCCAAAAGTATGACGTCTTAATGTTTTTTTCGGTGTTGATGCCGAGGCTCCCATTTGGAAGCGCCCGACAATAGATACTTCCGTTTTTAGTCTTTCTATCTCGAGCAGATACTCTTGTTTGCTTTTCCATCTCTTCTAGCTTAATTGCCTGCTTTTTGAGCCGAGTTTCGAGATCGCGAGTCAAGTTCTGATATCCTTGAAGTGCCTCTTCTGTAGCTGACAAGATGTTTGCTTTCGGTTTATTTTTGACAGTGTTAGTGCTTTGGGCGAATTCTAGTGTAGATCTAGTCTCCTCCTCTGCAGCTGAAGTAACATTCCCGATAATCAATGATTTGGCATTACTGCCAAGAGCCTGTGAGAGCAGTCTAGTCAATTTCGAATCGCGATAACTGATAAACTCCTTCCCCTCGCTTAGTTGCCTTATCACATTTCCTAATACTGACAAAGATTTGTTTATGTTAGCCCCCTCTTTAAGATGCTCACCAGCAGCTTTCGTCAGAGAAACTCTCTCAGAACCAGCTAAGTCCATTGAGTTAAGGTAGCTTATATGTACAGGTCCATCTTTCTGATTGGCATCTTTCGACTCCAGAATAATCCGGAAAATCGTGTGTGATCGAGATGACCTCTCATTCATGCGAATAGCTGCAACTCGTCTGATCTTATTGCCCTACATCATGTTCTCCATAACTTGATCAACATTGTCTACGACAGCTTCCCTTGCATCAACAGCACATTTCCTTTGATATCTTCCCTTATAGTTAAACCCTGATTGCTCTTATCCAGGAGGTCATTGATCTTTTCATTGTAGATTTCAATATAACTGAATCTAATCAAGTACCTCTTATCAACCTGGTCTGCCACATGCTGGAATAACTGATTGGATACTAATTGGAAAAGCCCAGGATCTGTTTTATTGCCCAAATGGTGTGTGTTTGCCAGAAGATGTTTGGCCATATGCAAATATTGTGCATTGAAACCTTCCATGAAGGAATCGACTAAAGGTTTTACTACAGATCCATATACATCTGAATTTGTACATTCCTGGTTAAATACATGGTCGAATATATAAACCTCTCCATGGCGACTACTTTCATCGGCTTCCCAATGCAGTTTCTCTTACGTTCCAAAGACGCTCTAGACCATCGGCTACTTCGCGGTGGATCATTGGTCTGATCTTTATGGCTATTTTAATATTGTCGGAAGTCATTTTGGAAGCTTGAACTGAAATTTAATTAGAACTAGGGCTATTTCACGGGTTATAAAGAGGGGCAGATGTATCAGGTTGATACATTCTTTTTTTCCTCCTTTCCAGTATAGAAGATTTTTTTCTCTTGTAGGCTATGAATGCGGTCCGATAGTTTAGTAGAGCTACATTTACAGGGTGACTCAAAATCAAAGAAGAAACAGAATTGTTAAATTTCATATAGACTGTTATTGTTATTACAAAAAGAAGTTGAAGCAGAAGCAAATTCTCACAAATCTATAGATCCATCACTTTCAGCACCCGATTTTTCAACTTGAAAAATGCAGCTCGGTGAAGAATCACAAGGTAACTGTTGTCTATTCAGACAATACTCTTCTAAAAGCAACGCGAAGTTACCTAGTGCCTTACATGAATCGCCTTCATAATTCTTCATTATTGACAATGGAAAACTGAAATTGTTGATTATTACAGTTTTTAATGCTGCAAATAAGCAGATGGTGTTCGTGTTGGAAATCCCACGTCTAATCTCGCAAAACAGGTTATCCACCGGATCTTACTATCAACTTCTGAAATGCCATTACTGTTTTTAGCCATGTGTACAACAGGTTTGTACGCATAAAACGCTCAGGGGAACAATAAAATTTCGTCGCCTAATAGAACTTTCAGTCCCAGACTGAAAAAAAAAGGAATTTACAGAAGCTGGTTGGATACCAAATAGCACAAGGCCATCTTCTCGTTCTCTAACCAGTATTGTAATTTACACACTTCCGATCTAATGCATTACCCCCGCCTTCATAGTGTTATAAAAATAATATAGAATCTTATCAGGTTTCTTTGATTCCTCTACTATTTTGTTATCATGCTGCATAGATTGCTATACGAGAACATGTGTATTTGCTTTTGGAAGATACTACACTAAGGCTGTAGTGCTAGTGAACATAAACTTAGAAGTACCTGGCTGTGTTTCCTTCTTATTTGGAACTACATGTTGGGGTACTTGTTACTTATTTTTACGCTTCCTGCCGACATTGGTCAGTTGGTTGATGCGCAATTCTACATGTAATTCTACTGGTGTGATATTTCTGTTCGTATAGACGAAAGCATTGAGCAGGTAGTGGTGAGTCTTTGCATCATCAGTCCATACTTATTCGGTTTAGTTTCTTGTAGGCACAGGAAGGACATCGGCCCACGAGCATCTCGTATTTTGTAGGGGACTCACCCGAAATATAAAATTTCGACAGTTCTCTATGAGTGTCTCGAAAATTTCACGTATTTGGAGAAATTTATCTGCATTTCTCGAGTCACAGGGTTATTATTTTCCAAATTGGTTGCCACGGACTTTAGTTCAGGTAAATGCGTAATAATATTGTCGTCTGGATCGACCAGTTGCAGGCGCTTGTTTTGACCAATTGTACATGTTTTTTCTATAAGCATAGCGAGGTCGCCCATAGGAAGTTGTTCAGGTTGATCGCTAACAGCGTCGTCCTCGGCGTGGTGTATTGTTCATCCGCCAACAACGAAAAAATCCATTGTGAAGGAAGTTCAAATCGTACACGCAACTGACATCCTCGGATCAAATTTGACCGCAAAGTCAACAAACCAACACTTGTGATGTTTAAATTAAACTGTGGTTTGAGGTATACGTGCTTATACCGTATGAGAAGTCACGGGACCCCCACCACATAACTGAGAAAGCTCGAATCACCCGACGATACCATTAAAGGATTAATTTCTATATTCTTAAACGAATCTATAAAATCAAAGTGGCTGGGTTTCAATTTACATAGCTCTTGTATGGTCTTGTTTGCTGATCAACATTATTTGCTTTCTAGACATGTTCAAGCTGTGCAGCTTCTTCACTTTCATATTAATGTCAATAAGAGCATTTCATCCATTTTTGAATAAATGTGGTTCATCAAAAATTGTAGAAATACTCTGAGCATTGCTATAAAATGGAATGGACTTGATCCGTGAGTATTCTCCGAGCAAATCGTCTCAAGTGCGTTTTTGATCGTTGCGCCCTGATTACAAATAGTGCCAACGACGCACAAACCAAGTCGCTGCAAGTTTGTGATCACATGAACAATAATCGTTTTCAGATCTGGGATTCTTGTATCTTTTACTAGATAATAAGCCACAACCTGCTTATAATTTTTACGAATTCCTCTTATCATGGAAGTAAGGGCATGATTTCTGATAAATCACTTTTACAGAGTTCTAGTTGATTTTGTTACCTCAGAATTCAAGATTTATTAGCTGAAAATTGTACACTGTGAGCGGTTACCAAGACTAGATTCACAATCTTAAGTCCTAGGTGCTATCGTGGTCCGTGGGATCAGCCCTAAACTTTGTCCATACCCTGCAATAATCGTAAACACTAAACAAGGGTAGACATATTTCTAGTTTAACTGCCTGAAGATTTTCTCTATGGTTTATACGTAACTCTCCACCTATTATCTCATTTTTGTACATGTTCTGGGAGAACTCAACTTGCTCCCTATAAAATGCAACGTCTTCCTGCACAGGTGGTTCTGGTTAAGTGCCAGCCAGCTTCGGGTTTGTAATTAGTTGTTGCAATTTTCTGATTTCGTCGTCATTTTTCATAATCCAGATTTCGTTTTGGCATTCCAGTTCAGCCATTTGATCCTGAAGCTCTTTTATAGTAGAATCATTATGGCATCGTATATCTGAGACTTTAAATGAGTGGTTGACCTCACGTTGATTACTCTCGTCCATCAGACTCTTTACGTCATTTCTCAGTTTAGATTCAAGTTCTTTTAGGAAGCCAATTTCATCTTGCAGTTCAGCAATCTGTGACATCGTTACATCAGTTTGTGTAGCAGCACTTAAAGAATCTTGCATATCTTCATACTCAGCGTCAAGCGTAGCTTCTAAGCCTGCAACCTTCTTTTTTGACTCAATATTTTGAGCTTCAAGAGATAGTTAAGGGCTCTCTGATCTTCCTAGGTTCTTCAGTTGAGTACGCAGCATCTCTATTTCTGACTCGTATGTTTTTAGTCTTTTTATATGTTTTTCCAGAAAATCGAGTCTGTATTGCAAGTCGATGAAATTCTTGCGCTTTTTGAGAATTTTTTGAACCCTTTCTATTTCTTCGTTGTACGCATCCGTTACTTGGCGGAGTTCCTGACTGTAACGATCGATTTTAGAATTGGCTTCTGTGAGCTGTTTCTTCAGGTCCAAAATCTCCAGCTGATTATCTAGTTTAGTGAATTCTCTAAGCTCATTGAAAGATTCTTCCAGTTCTTTGAGTTGTCTTTTAAGTACACTTGCAGGCACGTCTTCAGCTATCACTTCTGCTTCGGCTAGTGCCTCCTCATATGTCTCTTCTTGAATAGGCCTCATTTCACGTCCGGATGATTCTTCTTTGGGTGGATAATTTTTCAATGGCATATACCGTAGGGATGCTTTTTTAGGTGATACGTTGCCATAGTCTCCAAAAGTATGACGTCTTAATGTTTTTTCGGTGTTGATGACGAGGCTCCCATTTGAAAGCGCCCGACAATAGATACTTCCGTTTTTAGTCTTTCTATCTCGAGCAGATACTCTTGTTTGCTTTTCTCCATCTCTTCTAGCTTAATTGCCTGATTTTTGAGCCGAGTTTCGAGATCGCGAGTCAAGTTCTGATATCCTTGAAGTGCTTCTTCTGTAGCTGACAAGATGTTTACTTTCGGTTTTTTTGACAGTTTTAGTGCTTTGGGCGAATTCTGGTGTAGATCTAGTCTCCTCTGCAGCTAAAGTAACATTTCCGATAATCAATGATTTGGCATTACCGCCAAGAGCCTGTGAGAGCAGTCTAGTCAATTTCGAATCGCGATAACTGATAAACTCCTTCCCCTCGCTTAGTTGCCTTATCACATTTCCTAATACTGACAAAGATTTGTTTATGTTAGCCCCCTCTTTAAGACGCTCACCAGCAGCTTTCGTCAGAGAAACTCTCTCAGAACCAGCTAAGTCCATTAAGTTAAGGTAGCTTATATGTACAGGTCCATCTTTCTGATTGGCATCTTTCGACTCCAGAATAATCCGGAAAATCGTGTGTGATCGAGATGACCTCTCATTCATGCGAGTAGCTGCAACTCGTCTGATCTTATTGCCCTGCATCATGTTCTCCATAACTTTATCAACATTGTCTACGACAGGTTCTCTTGCATCAAGCAGCACATTTCCTTTGATATCTTCTCTTATAGTTAAACCCTGATTGCTCTTATCCAGGAGGTCATTGATCTTTTCATTGTAGATTTCAATATAACTGCATCTAATCAAGTACCTCTTATCAACCTGGTCTGCCACATGCTGGAATAACTGATTGGATACTAATTGGAAAAGCCCAGGATCTGTTTCATTGCCCAAAATGGTGTGTGTTTTGCCAGAAGATGTTTGGCCATATGCAAAATTTTGCATTGAAACCTTCCATGAAGGAATCGACTAAAGGTTTTACTACAGATCCATATACATCTGAATTTGTACATTCCTAGTTAAATACATGGTCGAATATATAAACCTCTCCATGGCGACTACTTTCATCGGCTTCCCATATGCAGTTTGCTCTTACGTTCCAAAGACGCTCTAGACCATCGGCTACTTCGGGGTGGATCATTGGTCTGATCTTTATGGCTACTTTAATATTGTCGGAAGTCATTTTGGAAGCTTGAACTGAAATTTAATTAGAACTAGGGCTATTTCACGGGTTATAAAGAGGGGCAGATGTATCAGGTTGATACATTCTTTTTTTCCTCCTTTCCAGTATAGAAGATTTTTTTCTCTTGTAGGCTATGAATGCGGTCCGATAATTTAGTAGAGCTACATTTACAGGGTGACTCAAAATCAAAGAAGAAACAGAATTGTTAAATTTTATGTAGACTGTTATTGTTATTACAAAAAGAAGTTGAAGCAGCAGCAAATTCTCACAAATCTATAGATCCATCACTTTCAGCACCCGATTTTTCAACTTGAAAAATGCAGCTCGGTGAAGAATCACAAGGTAACTGTTGTCTATTCAGACAATACTCTTCTAAAAGCAACGCGAAGTTACCTAGTGCCTTACATGAATCGCCTTCATAATTCTTCATTATTGTCAATGGAAAACTGAAATTGTTGATTATTACAGTTTTTAATGCTGCAAATAAGCAGATGGGGTTCGTGTTGGAAATCCCACGTCTAATCTCGCAAAACAGGTTATCCACCGGATCTTACTATCAACTTCTGAAATGCCATTACTGTTTTTAGCCATGTGTACAACAGGTTTGTACGCATAAAACACTCTTACATGAAAACTGTTTATTGTCTAAAAACGAAAATACCCCATTTGAAGATGAGTAATGCAACAAATATAATTTACGAAACTTGAACTGTAATATGAACATAAAAAACTAACAAAATGGGCCATTTAACAACATATTTGGTGTTGATATTCTACAACAAAAACAAATACTTTCTCGTATAAGGAAACGTACAATAATTCACATTTATCACTTTTCACGAAACAATGTAGCTGCTCTGTGACTTTGCATACTTATTACAGATTGTAGAACATTTTTTTCATTGTGTATTGTCATGTAACACCTACGTCGTTTTTCCCTTTATCAACTGCATCAGGATCGAGAACTCTGGGCTGAGAAGTAGACGGCTTACTTTATTCGTCGTTGGTAATTTTGGATTCTTTGCATGGCTGAACGAAGCTCCCTAGGAAGTCTTGGATCTGATAAACGTCCTCTCATACGAAGTTAAATTAGAGTTTGCCTCAGGAGAACAATAAAATTTCGTCGCCTAATAGAACTTTCAGTCCCAGACTGAAAAAAAAAGGAATTTACAGAAGCTGGTTGGATACCAAATAGCACAAGGCAATCTTCTCGTGCTCTAACCAGTATTGTAATTTACACACTTCCGATCTAATGCATTACCCCCCGCCTTCATAGTGTTATAAAAATAATATAGAATCTTATCAGGTTTCTTTGATTCCTCTACTATTTTGTTATCATGCTGCATAGATTGCTATACGAGAACATGTGTATTTGGTTTTGGAAGATACTACACTAAGGCTGTAGTGCTAGTGAACGTAAACTTAGAAGTACCTGGCTGTGTTTCCTTCTTATTTGGAACTACATGTTGGGGTACTTGTTACTTATTTTTACGCTTCCTGCCGACGTTGGTCAGTTGGTTGATGCGCAATTCTACATGTAATTCTACTGGTGTGATATTTCTGTTCGTATAGACGAAAGCATTGAGCAGGTAGTGGTGAGTCTTTGCATCATCAGTCCATACTTATTCGGTTTAGTTTTCTTGTAGGCACAGGAAGGACATCGGCCCACGAGCATCTCGTATTTTGTAGGGGACTCACCCGAAAAATAAAAATTTCGACAGTTCTCTATGAGTGTCTCGAAAATTTCACGTATTTGGAGAAATTTATCTGCATTTCTCGAGTCACAGGGTTATTATTTTCCAAATTGGTTGCCACGGACTTTAGTTCAGGTAAATGCGTAATATATTGTCGTCTGGATCGACCAGTTGCAGGCGCTCGTTTTGACCAATTGTACATGTTTTTTCCATAAGCATAGCGAGGTCGTCCATAGGAAGTTGTTCAGGTTGATCGCTAACAGCGTCGTCCTCGGCGTAGTCTATGGTGTATTGTTCATCCGTCAACAACGAAAAAATCCATTGTGAAGGAAGTTCAAATCGTACACGCAGCTGATCCTCGGATCAAATTTGACCGCAAAGTCAACAAACCAACACTTGTGATGTTTAAATTAAACTGTGGTTTGAGGTATACGTGCTTATACCGTATGAGAAGTCACGGGAGCCCCACCACATAACTGAGAAAGCTCGAATCATCCGACGATACCATTAAAGGATTAATTTCTATATTCTTAAACGAATCTATAAAATCAAAGTGGCTGGGTTTCAATTTACATAGCTCTTTGTATGGTCTTGTTTGTTGATCAACATTATATGCTTTCTAGACATGTTCAAGCTGTGCAGCTTCTTCACTTTCATATTAATGTCAATAAGAGCATTTCATCCATTTTTGAATAAATGTGGTTCATCACAAATTGTAGAAATACTCTGAGCATTGACTATAAAATGGAATGGACTTGATCCGTGAGTATTCTCCGAGCAAATCGTCTCAAGTGCGTTTTTGATCGTTGCGCCCCGATTACAAATAGTGCCAACGACGCACAAACCAAGTCGCTGCAAGTTTGTGATCACATGAACAATAATCGTTTTCAGATCTGGGATTCTTTTATCTTTACTAGATAATAAGCCACAACCTGCTTATAATTTTTACGAATCCCTCTTATCATGGAAGTAAGGGCATGATTTCTGATAAATCACTTTTACAGAGTTCTAGTTGATTTTGTTACCTCAGAATTCAAGATTTATTAGCTGAAAATTGTACACTGTGAGCGGTTACCAAGACTAGATTCACAATCTTAAGTCCTAGGTGCTATCGTGGTGCGTGGGATCAGCCCTAAACTTTGTCCAAACCCTGCAATAATCGTAAACACTAAACAAGGGTAGACATATTTCTAGTTTAACTGCCTGAAGATTTTCTCTATGGTTTATACGTAACCTCCACCTATTATCTCATTTTTGTACATGTTCTGGGAGAACTCAACTTGCTCCCTATAAAATGCAACGTCTTCCTGCACAGTGGTTCTGGTTAAGTGCCAGCCTGCTTCGGGTTTGTAATTAGTTGTTGCAATTTCGATTTCGTCGTCTTTTTCATAATCCAGATTTCGTTTTGGCATTCCAGTTCAGCCATTTGATCCTGAAGCTCTTTTATAGTAGAATCATTATGGCATCGTATATCTGAGATTTTAAATGAGTGGTTGACCTCACGTTGGTTACTCTCGTCCATCAGACTCTTTACGTCATTTCTCAGTTTAGATTCAAGTTCTTTTAGGAAGCCAATTTCATCTTGCAGTTCAGCAATGTGTGACAATCGTTACAACAAGCAGTTTGTGCAGCAGCACTTAAAGAATGTTGCATATCTACTCAGCGTCAAGCATAGCTAATCTGCAACCTTCTTTTTGACTCAATATTTTGAGCTTCAAGAGATGGTTTAGGGCTCTCTGATCTTCCTAGGTTCTTCAGTTGAGTACGCAGCATCTCTATTTCTGACTCGTATGTTTTTAGTCTTTTTATTATTTTTTCCAGAAAATCGAGTCTGTATTGCAAGTCGATGAAATTCTTGCGCTTTTTGAGAATTTTTTTGAACTCTTTCTATTTCTCGTTGTACGCATCCGTTACTTGGCGGAGTTCCTGACTGTAACGATCGAAGTTAGAATTGGCTTCTGTGAGCTGTTTCTTCAGGTCCAAAATCTCCAGCTGATTATCTAGTTTAGTGAATTCTCTAAGCTCATTGAAAGATTCTTCCAGTTCTTTGAGTTGTCTTTTAAGTACACTTGCACGTCTTCAGCTATCACAGATTCTGCTTCGGCTAGTGCCTCCTCATATGTCTCTTCTTGAATAGGCCTCATTTCACGTCCGGATGATTCTTCTTTGGGTGGATAATTTTCAATGGCATATACCCTAGGGATGCTTTTTTAGGTGATACGTTGCCATAGTGTCCAAAAGTATGACGTCTTAATGTTTTTTTCGGTGTTGATGCCGAGGCTCCCATTTGAAGCGCCCGACAATAGATACTTCCGTTTTTAGTCTTTCTATCTCGAGCAGATACTCTTGTTTGCTTTTATCCATCTCTTTAGCTTAATTGCCTGCTTTTTGAGCCGAGTTCGAGATCGCGAGTCAAGTTCTGATATCCTTGAAGTGTCTCTCTGTAGCTGACAAGATGTTTACTTTCGTTTTATTTTTGACAGTTTTAGTGCTTTGGGCGAATTCTGGTGTAGATCTAGTCTCCTCCTCTGCAGCTAAAGTAACATTCCCGATAATCAATGATTGGCATTACCGCCAAGAGCCTGTGAGAGCAGTCTAGTCAATTTCGAATCGATAACTGATAAACTCCTTCCCCTCGCTTAGTTGCCTTATCACATTTCCTAATACTGACAAAGATTTGTTTATGTTAGCCCCCTCTTTAAGACGCTCACCAGCAGCTTTCGTCAGAGAAACTCTCTCAGAACCAGCTAAGTCCATTAAGTTAAGGTAGCTTATATGTACAGGTCCATCTTTCTGATTGGCATCTTTCGACTCCAGAATAATCCGGAAAATCGTGTGTGATCGAGATGACCTCTCATTCATGCGAGTAGCTGCAACTCGTCTGATCTTATTGCCCTGCATCATGTTCTCCATAACTTTATCAACATTGTCTACGACAGCTTCCCTTGCATCAAGCAGCACATTTCCTTTGATATCTTCTCTTATAGTTAAACCCTGATTGCTCTTATCCAGGAGGTCATTGATCTTTTCATTGTAGATTTCAAATAACTGCATCTAATCAAGTACCTCTTATCAACCTGGTCTGCCACATGCTGGAATAACTGATGGATACTAATTGGAAAAGCCCAGGATCTGTTTTATTGCCCAAAATGGTGTGTGTTTGCCAGAAGATGTTTGGCCATATGCAAATATTGTGGCATTGAAACCTTCCATGAAGGAATCGACTAAAGGTTTTACTACAGATCCATATACATCTGAATTTGTACATTCCTGCTTAAATACATGGTCGAATATAAACCTCTCCATGGCGACTACTTTCATCGGCTTCCCATATGCAGTTTACTCTTACGTTCCAAAGACGCTCTAGACATCGGCTACTTCGCGGTGGATCATTGGTCGATCTTTGTGGCTACTTTAATATTGTCGGAAGTCATTTTGGAAGCTTGAACTGAAATTTAATTAGAACTAGGGCTATTTCACACGGGTTATAAAGAGGGGCACTTTTTCATAATCCAGATTTCGTTTTGGCATTCCAGTTCAGCCATTTGATCCTGAAGCTCTTTTATAGTAGAATCATTATGGCATCGTATATCTGAGATTTTAAATGAGTGGTTGACCTCACGTTGGTTACTCTCGTCCATCAGACTCTTTACGTCATTTCTCAGTTTAGATTCAAGTTCTTTTAGGAAGCCAATTTCATCTTGCAGTTCAGCAATGTGTGACATCGTTACATCAGTTTGTGCAGCAGCACTTAAAGAATCTTGCATATCTTCGTACTCAGCGTCAAGCATAGCTTCTAAGTCTGCAACCTTCTTTTTGACTCAATATTTTGAGCTTCAAGAGATGGTTTAGGGCTCTCTGATCTTCCTAGGTTCTTCAGTTGAGTACGCAGCATCTCTATTTCTGACTCGTATGTTTTTAGTCTTTTTATTATTTTTTTCCAGAAAATCGAGTCTGTATTGCAAGTCGATGAAATTCTTGCGCTTTTTGAGAATTTTTTTGAACTCTTTCTATTTCTTCGTTGTACGCATCCGTTACTTGGCGGAGTTCCTGACTGTAACGATCGATTTAGAATTGGCTTCTGTGAGCTGTTTCTTCAGGTCCAAAATCTCCAGCTGATTATCTAGTTTAGTGAATTCTCTAAGCTCATTGAAAGATTCTTCCAGTTCTTTGAGTTGTCTTTTAAGTACACTTGCACGTCTTCAGCTATCACAGATTCTGCTTCGGCTAGTGCCTCCTCATATGTCTCTTCTTGAATAGGCCTCATTTCACGTCCGGATGATTCTTCTTTGGGTGGATAATTTTTCAATGGCATATACCCTAGGGATGCTTTTTTAGGTGATACGTTGCCATAGTGTCCAAAGTATGACGTCTTAATGTTTTTTTTCGGTGTTGATGCCGAGGCTCCCATTTGAAAGCGCCCGACAATAGATACTTCCGTTTTTAGTCTTTCTATCTCGAGCAGATACTCTTGTTTGCTTTTATCCATCTCTTTTAGCTTAATTGCCTGCTTTTTGAGCCGAGTTTCGAGATCGCGAGTCAAGTTCTGATATCCTTGAAGTGTCTCTTCTGTAGCTGACAAGATGTTTACTTTCGTTTTATTTTTGACAGTTTTAGTGCTTTGGGCGAATTCTGGTGTAGATCTAGTCTCCTCCTCTGCAGCTAAAGTAACATTCCCGATAATCAATGATTTGGCATTACCGCCAAGAGCCTGTGAGAGCAGTCTAGTCAATTTCGAATCGCGATAACTGATAAACTCCTTCCCCTCGCTTAGTTGCCTTATCACATTTCCTAATACTGACAAAGATTTGTTTATGTTAGCCCCCTCTTTAAGACGCTCACGCAGCTTTCGTCAGAGAAACTCTCTCAGAACCAGCTAAGTCCATTAAGTTAAGGTAGCTTATATGTACAGGTCCATCTTTCTGATTGGCATCTTTCGACTCCAGAATAATCCGGAAAATCGTGTGTGATCGAGATGACCTCTCATTCATGCGAGTAGCTGCAACTCGTCTGATCTTATTGCCCTGCATCATGTTCTCCATAACTTTATCAACATTGTCTACGACAGCTTCCCTTGCATCAAGCAGCACATTTCCTTTGATATCTTCTCTTATAGTTAAACCCTGATTGCTCTTATCCAGGAGGTCATTGATCTTTTCATTGTAGATTTCAATATAACTGCATCTAATCAAGTACCTCTTATCAACCTGGTCTGCCACATGCTGGAATAACTGATTGGATACTAATTGGAAAAGCCCAGGATCTGTTTTATTGCCCAAAATGGTGTGTGTTTTGCCAGAAGATGTTTGGCCATATGCAAATATTGTGGCATTGAAACCTTCCATGAAGGAATCGACTAAAGGTTTTACTACAGATCCATATACATCTGAATTTGTACATTCCTGCTTAAATACATGGTCGAATATATAAACCTCTCCATGGCGACTACTTCTCATCGGCTTCCCATATGCAGTTTACTCTTACGTTCCAAAGACGCTCTAGACCATCGGCTACTTCGCGGTGGATCATTGGTCTGATCTTTGTGGCTACTTTAATATTGTCGGAAGTCATTTTGGAAGCTTGAACTGAAATTTAATTAGAACTAGGGCTATTTCACGGGTTATAAAGAGGGGCACTTTTCATAATCCAGATTTCGTTTTGGCATTCCAGTTCAGCCATTTGATCCTGAAGCTCTTTTATAGTAGAATCATTATGGCATCGTATATCTGAGATTTTAAATGAGTGGTTGACCTCACGTTGGTTACTCTCGTCCATCAGACTCTTTACGTCATTTCTCAGTTTAGATTCAAGTTCTTTTAGGAAGCCAATTTCATCTTGCAGTTCAGCAATGTGTGACATCGTTACATCAGTTTGTGTAGCAGCACTTAAAGAATCTTGCATATCTTCGTACTCAGCGTCAAGCATAGCTTCTAAGTCTGCAACCTTCTTTTTTGACTCAATATTTTGAGCTTCAAGAGATGGTTTAGGGCTCTCTGATCTTCCTAGGTTCTTCAGTTGAGTACGCAGCATCTCTATTTCTGACTCGTATGTTTTTAGTCTTTTTATTATTTTTTTTCCAGAAAATCGAGTCTGTATTGCAAGTCGATGAAATTCTTGCGCTTTTTGAGAATTTTTTTGAACTCTTTCTATTTCTTCGTTGTACGCATCCGTTACTTGGCGGAGTTCCTGACTGTAACGATCGATTTTAGAATTGGCTTCTGTGAGCTGTTTCTTCAGGTCCAAAATCTCCAGCTGATTATCTAGTTTAGTGAATTCTCTAAGCTCATTGAAAGATTCTTCCAGTTCTTTGCGTTGTCTTTTAAGTACACTTGCACGTCTTCAGCTATCACAGATTCTGCTTCGGCTAGTGCCTCCTCATATGTCTCTTCTTGAATAGGCCTCATTTCACGTCCGGATGATTCTTCTTTGGGTGGATAATTTTTCAATGGCATATACCCTAGGGATGCTTTTTTAGGTGATACGTTGCCATAGTGTCCAAAAGTATGACGTCTTAATGTTTTTTTCGGTGTTGATGCCGAGGCTCCCATTTGAAAGCGCCCGACAATAGATACTTCCGTTTTTAGTCTTTCTATCTCGAGCAGATACTCTTGTTTGCTTTTATCCATCTCTTTTAGCTTAATTGCCTGCTTTTTGAGCCGAGTTTCGAGATCGCGAGTCAAGTTCTGATATCCTTGAAGTGTCTCTTCTGTAGCTGACAAGATGTTTACTTTCGTTTTATTTTTGACAGTTTTAGTGCTTTGGGCGAATTCTGGTGTAGATCTAGTCTCCTCCTCTGCAGCTAAAGTAACATTCCCGATAATCAATGATTTGGCATTACCGCCAAGAGCCTGTGAGAGCAGTCTAGTCAATTTCGAATCGCGATAACTGATAAACTCCTTCCCCTCGCTTAGTTGCCTTATCACATTTCCTAATACTGACAAAGATTTGTTTATGTTAGCCCCCTCTTTAAGACGCTCACCAGCAGCTTTCGTCAGAGAAACTCTCTCAGAACCAGCTAAGTCCATTAAGTTAAGGTAGCTTATATGTACAGGTCCATCTTTCTGATTGGCATCTTTCGACTCCAGAATAATCCGGAAAATCGTGTGTGATCGAGATGACCTCTCATTCATGCGAGTAGCTGCAACTCGTCTGATCTTATTGCCCTGCATCATGTTCTCCATAACTTTATCAACATTGTCTACGACAGCTTCCCTTGCATCAAGCAGCACATTTCCTTTGATATCTTCTCATAGTTAAACCCTGATTGCTCTTATCCAGGAGGTCATTGATCTTTTCATTGTAGATTTCAATATAACTGCATCTAATCAAGTACCTCTTATCAACCTGGTCTGCCACATGCTGGAATAACTGATTGGATACTAATTGGAAAAGCCCAGGATCTGTTTTATTGCCCAAAATGGTGTGTGTTTTGCCAGAAGATGTTTGGCCATATGCAAATATTGTGGCATTGAAACCTTCCATGAAGGAATCGACTAAAGGTTTTACTACAGATCCATATACATCTGAATTTGTACATTCCTGATTAAATACATGGTCGAATATAAAACCTCTCCATGGCGACTACTTTCATCGGCTTCCCATATGCAGTTTACTCTTACGTTCCAAAGACGCTCTAGACCATCGGCTACTTCGCGGTGGATCATTGGTCTGATCTTTGTGGCTACTTTAATATTGTTGGAAGTCATTTTGGAAGCTTGAACTGAAATTTAATTAGAACTAGGGCTATTTCACGGGTTATAAAGAGGGGCAGATGTATCAGGTTGATACATTCTTTTTTTCCTCCTTTCCAGTATAGAAGATTTTTTTCTCTTGTAGGCTATGAATGCGGTCCGATAGTTTAGTAGAGCTACATTTACAGGGTGACTCAAAATCAAAGAAGAAACAGAATTGTTAAATTTCATATAGACTGTTATTGTTATTACAAAAAGAAGTTGAAGCAGCAGCAAATTCTCACAAATCTATAGATCCATCACTTTCAGCACCCGATTTTTCAACTTGAAAAATGCAGCTCGGTGAAGAATCACAAGGTAACTGTTGTCTATTCAGACAATACTCTTCTAAAAGCAACGCGAAGTTACCTAGTGCCTTACATGAATCGCCTTCATAATTCTTCATTATTGTCAATGGAAAACTGAAATTGTTGATTATTACAGTTTTTAATGCTTCAAATAAACAGATGGTGTTCGTGTTGGAAATCCCACGTCTAATCTCGCAAAACAGGTTATCCACCGGATCTTACTATCAACATCTGAAATGCCATTACTGTTTTTAGCCATGTGTACAACAGGTTTGTACGCATAAGACACTCTTACATGAAAACTGTTTATTGTCTAAAAACGAAAATACCCCATTGAAGATGAGTAATGCAATAAATATAATCCTCGAAACTTGAACTGTAATATGAACATAAAAAAACTAACAAAATGGGCCATTTAACAACATATTTGGTGTTGATATTCTACAACAAAAACAAATACTTTCTCGTATAAGGAAACATACAATAATTAACATTTATCACTTTTCACGAAACAATGTAAGTGCGCTGTGACTTTACATACTTATTACAGATTGTAGAACATTTTTTTCATTGTGTATTGTCATGTAACACCTACGTCGTTTTTTTTTCTTTAACAACTGCATCAGGATCGAGAACTCTGGGCTGAGAAGTAGACGGCTTACTTTATTCGTCGTTGGTAATTTAGGATTCTTTGCATGGCTGAACGAAGCTCCCTAGGAAGTCTTGGATCTGATAAACGTCCTCTCATACGAAGTTAAATTAGAGTTTGCCTCAGGGGAACAATAAAATTTCGTCGCCTAATGGAACTTTCAGTCCCAGACTGAAAAAAAAAGGAATTTACAGAAGCTGGTTGGATACCAAATAGCACAAGGCCATCTTCTCGTTCTCTAACCAGTATTGTAATTTACACACTTCCGATCTAATGCATTACCCCCCGCCTTCATAGTGTTATAAAAATAATATAGGATCTTATCAGGTTTCTTTGATTCCTCTACTATTTTGTTATCATGCTGCATAGATTGCTATACGAGAACATGTGTATTTGGTTTTGGAAGATACTACTCTAAGGCTGTACAACATAAACTTAGAAGTACCTGGCTGTGTTTCCTTCTTATTTGGAACTACATGTTGGGGTACTTGTT